GTTTACACAATCCTACGTCCTTAATAATTTCAATATGTTGAATAATTCTACATAAATTGAAAAAAAAAAGATTTATGTATTTTTTCTGCATCTGAAACTTTTTTTAAACATCACTTGTACTACGTATTAGATTATACATTATATATGAGTTATTAATTTTATCAGACATTTTTTTTTAATTTCTCGCGTTCTATGAAGTAACAAATAGAACATCTAGTTAGTTCACACCAATTATTTTACAAAATTATAAATTTTGAACTTGTTGCGAAAATTATTTAGTTATCCTTTTTTTTGAACTATAGTTCACTGTAGTAAGATTAATGGGGGTATCGTATTCATATTATTTGCATAATTTTATATTTGGATAAAAATCCAAAACTATAAATTTTTATTTGGTTAGAATAATTATCCGGTTTCAAGCACAAATACGTCATAAATACGTCACAAATGAAAAAATTGTTTATTTACTGACAATTATCATTTAAAATGAAACTGAACAGTTTTAATAGCAAATATAGATGTGGTAAAAACCTCGTGAAATTTATATACTGATCACAAATTTAAAAATATCAAACCGCATAAAATAAACAAACTGAACATATTAATTGGTAGTTTTGGAGAATGACTCCAAAGGAAACTTACTTTTGTGATAAGAACGGGTAAATTTTTATACTCGAAAATAATTTAATCAACAAATCGAAATTTATAATTCAATCAACAGAAGCGAAATAATGCAGTGAAACTAGGCTAGTTTGCTCAAGATAAAATTTTGTATATATTACGGCACTGTTACAATGGAAAAACATTAAGTACCGTAACTCGAATTATAGTCAGTATATAAAGTCAAAAACTTAAAATACAATAATGAATTTCAGCAATTTTGAAACAAGTTTTTTGAGATTGTTCGCTTTAATTGTTTTTGTTCATTCGTCACATTGTTCAAAACACCGCGGTCAAACTTATTGTGTTCAGAGAAGCATCAAAGAATTTGCGAGTTATAAATTAAATAACGCTATATCATTGGTAAGTAGTCAAGTCGAATAATGTCATATTTAAAAGAAAGACATATGAAAAGAGATAATAAAATATTTTTTGCTTTCACAGAATTCAAGATCAGTACTAGAACCAAATAAAAGTGTGGCGAAGACGATAAATGCTGTATTAAGATCTGAACCAACTGATAATAATGAAAATCATTCAAATATCTTCTACATCGACGAAATGGTGATTTTTATTCAGACAGCAATGGTATGATTTATTTGAGGATTTTGCTTTTTATCTGTGTGGAAGTACTTGTGAAAATATTTTTTAATTTTTTTCTAGAAATCAAGTTTATTACAAGAATGTTTCAATTTGGAAGGGACGCCTCTGAGAGCTTTAGTAAATGAAGAAATTTTCAGACGATGCAGAAAGGTATACATACCCTTATTCAATTTTTTTATTGAGAAAAATTTAACAGCAATCACATAAATTTTATATTCGTGTTTTAATTTACAGAATTCTTTCACTGGCAAATGTTTAGTTTCTTCACATCGAAGTCATCTTGTAAGTATCCTATTTTAAAATATTGTCAGAAAATTCACGGAAACGCGATTTTATCGTTTTTTTTTCATATTTCAGAGAAACCGTATACAACGGCAAAGGATTGATGTCATCAAGACGAAAAAATCTGAAGTCAAAGTCGACAATTTTCTGACTGAATTTGGAAAGAATCCCGTAGCTATCTGCACTGCTTTCTTGAAAGAAGTTCACAGAATTATAAATACAATACCTGTTTGTGCAATGTAATTGAAACATTCTTACTATTTTGTTCGTATTTCTTTTGGAATATCTGTTGTTCTTTCACATTTCAGTTGAGAAATGTTATTTGGATATATTTTTTCTGATATTATTCTTTTTTTTTCAACAGTTTGGAGTAGTAACGTTAGCATAGAAGTAACTTATTTAAATAATATTATTTATAATATTTATTCTTCGTCATAATTCAGCAATCTTGTATATATTTTAATTTTCAGAGTATTTTTATTTATTATTGTTTGATAATTTAAAGTATATTGTACATTTTGTTTTCTTGGTAAATGATATAATTTAATACTAAAGTGAATTCATATATTTGATTGTGCTTTATACAAAATAGAAATAATAATAAATACTTTGTAAATAAAGGCAAGATTTTATTGAGTTGGCTGTTTCGTTAAATTGGATCTGGACCCCATTTCGGTTGAAGTTTTAAGCGTTTGGCTCACAAACAAGAGAATCAACTTTAAAATGAAGACAAAGTTTTAAATAAATTAAATTAGACAAAATTAATTGCATCATCGGATCCAGCCCTTACTCTCTCTGATAAAAAAAATAAAAAAAAAGTTGAAACATGAATTGTTTAATGGTAACCCCTACCGTGTGATGAAGAATATCAATCATGGAAGTAACAAGAAGGAAAACTAAAATTATGAAACTAATCCAACGAAATCGGGAAAAAAATCCCACTGCTACGACGTACCTCATTACATTGTCCCTTATGCGACTTTTGCTGATCCCTCCAATCTATGGGCAATTATGACAGAAAAGTTGAGAATATCGGAATTCTAGCAGTAGCATAAGTATATGTGTTTTCACGTAACTGTAGTTTTACACATAACATTTATTCCCTATTTCGGAAACGGCGACATTTGAATGTGATGTATGCGTTACGAATCCCGATGCTTTTATGCGATATAAATATTGCAAGTTGAATTTTGCTGTAATGTAAAACAGAATACCAAACTGCCAGCTTATACCTGACCGCCTAATGGGCTGGTAAGGACGCAAATGAAACAAATGAATAAATTTCACTCTTCCCCAAGATAGACTTGACGTCATCCCAAATGAGGCTGTTATTTCGGGGGTTCCAATTTTGATCTATTAAACTGAATATTCCGTGCACCGTGGTGTATTGATGCTTAACCTTGAGGACTTACAATTAGGAACTTTCATCGTATCGGATGCAATTGTCCCGGAAGAGATGATATTTTAACTTGACATCAAAAAGCAGCCGCCGTGTTTGGAAGGGTAGAAGGGTAATCACACAGTAAATTGATAAAAGTCTCGAATAGTAAATAATCAGAACCCAACCCTATTTTAAAATAGGGGGTACTGTGTACTGAACCGCAAGTCGTTTCTGCTTGTTTTCTTCCTACTTCGTATCCGTATGTGTCAGTTATTGAACGAGATATTAGTATAAAGATAAACAAAAGAGCCATGCTCAAATATATGGACACCAAGAGCATTTCGCTAATTTCCGAAAACCATACCACAGTTCGGCATAAAAAACCTCCCACTTCCGCTAAGCACTAGATCCACCGGCAAACGCCGAGCATGAAATCAGCCGATGTGCGTCCGCAGAATGTTCGATGACGTCATAGCAAACAAAAAACGAAACCCACGGAGCTAACAGAAATATTTAAAATAAATTCAAATAAAAATTCCCATCCTTAACTACTGAAAATTTCGGAGAAATTGGTCCAGTAATCAAAGAGAAAGGCGACTTTTCAAGTTTTCCACTAGGTGTTCAAAATTAATGCAAAACAATCGTTACGTCCACTAACGTGTCCAATAAGAATAGCATAATCTTTTTTCACGAAATAGCAAGTGTATTTTTGAGCTTTCGTTAGATCATGATCCAATTTTTCTCGGACAAAGTAAGATATAGCTTAAGTCAACAGCGAATGCAAACACATTGAATCTTTCAAAAAACGAGACCACTTGCACAGATATGAAAGTTATAATTTATTTAATTTAAGTGATGATCCAAAGGAGTGCGAAATCAAGTTATTTTACCTGGACATGAAGTGAACCTACAGTAGTTAGTCTTGTTGAATTGTTTTTGCTGCTCTTGGGGTTTTTGCGCCGCTGCTATTGCAATAAGAAAATCGATTACTTTCCTTCACAGGCACACACACCTAGGTAATTCGGAAAACTGACCAAAATATTACCGACATTGCGAAAATCATTTGAGCTTCGTGTCCACGCATTTGAATAGTTGGATTTCTAGCCTCGTTATTTATGCTTGATACTCACAGTGGGTATCTTGAGTAGTACCTTGAGTAGGTTGACCTAACTACCTCAAAACTCATGCGAAATAATAATATTATCGTGCGTCTCGGCGTTACTATCAAATAAAAATATATATCACCTCGTTAGTTTGTTACAGCACAAAATATGATTTACTCATTGCGCAGCGAAAATTTATTCTTTTTAAAAAAGAAATAGGCAAAATAACAAAACAAAAAAAATTAAAAAGAAGACAATGTGAATAGAACAAAACTTCATAAAGCTAAAAATTCAAAGAACAATGAAATTTTCATTTTTAATTCATCTAGCTAGTACATACAAAACACGAGAAAGAAAGAAAAAGTGTGTGTGTGTGATATTTTTTTTGTAAAAGGTGCAAATGCAAATATGCGTTATCAGTTCAATTTGACGCTTTGCGCAGCTCTTGCTAATACAAAATGATAATTTAAAGTTAAACCACCGACCAGAAACTAAGCTGTGTCAAGTATGGGCCTATGATAATGAGCGCCTTAAAGGCACTTCTTACACTGACCCATGAATGACTGTGTGTGAATAAACAAATATTTTCTGATTAGAAAAAAAAACGCAAAAAAATGGAGCAAAATAACAAGAATTAAAATATTGGAACTTCTGTTTTCCGGGCAAAATTTATTCGTTGAATTGTTTTTTAAAAGTCAAGCATGTATCCGCGACAAATATTTTCTTCGATACAAACTTGGACCAAATGTAAATTCCGTTGATAAATTTTGGCCGAGATAAGTGTAAGCAAACTATGGTGAATGCCACAGATGCTTTGAATTACACCGACCGAATTGCATTCAAATAAGAAAAATTGAAACCCCAAGTTTAGAATGAGCGTGGCGTTCTGTGATAGGAAGAGTTCATGAAAAAAAAAGTATAAGAAAAGAAAAATAATAATAGCATAAAGTATTTTTATTCCATAAATTTTGTTCTGATATTTGAAGTGACGAATATGCGTGATAATAATATTTTTTTAATAAATTACAAATTAGTAATCATGCTAATTCCTCCGCTTTTCAAATCAATTTTCGCTTTCGTGCCGGTCGCGGCAGTACCGGGCAAAGTATAAACGTATGTCTTTGATCTTGGCTGAGAAACCGATTCCCCATTTCGCCGATTGTTTTCGTTATTTTCGTTCTGTTGCCTTTTGGCGTTTGCTATAATAATGTTCGGGTCAGCCGTCTTTTTGGACTTATTTTTATTATTTTTTCCATAAGAAGAATTGACGGCACGCGGATTCGAACCCGCGTGTGCGCACCAACTGGTAACGCTTTCAGCAACACTTAAACGTCCACCACAAGCGGTGTCAATCATCTCTTCACCGTCTGGGCCGTGACAAATAACATTCGGATGAATTTTTTGACCGTTTGTTGACGGGTCAGCACTGTGGTCATCGTCTTCGAAGTTACCGCTATCGCCATGTCCCGCTGGCGATGAATTGGTAGATTCGTGTGTAGATGAAATGATTCGTTCGACCTCTCTATCGTTTTCTGAAACACAGTCTGATAAGTCGGAAGCGGAAGCTCTCGGGTTAGGTTTACTTGACCTTCGACCCCGCTTTATAGGAATAGGTGCAATTATACGATGCTGTCTCGGCTCGCCGTCATCTGATTCAACAGTCGCCAATACAGACGTGCTCGGAAGAACTGAATTCTCTACAGATCGTACCACTAGTGTTGGTTTGGGGGCGGAAGGTGGGCGTGGACTACAGGAATGATCATTATCGCTGTGAGAGTCGCAACACCCGCGACAAACTTGTTGTTGGGAGTCCGTGTCATAGCCTTGGTCTGTTGATAAAGGGTCTGATGATCTACCGGCTCTGTTAGCATAATAGTTATTTTGCTTCTGTCTTCTTTGGGGCGGGGCAAAATCTTCACGCTTGGTTGCCATTTGCAATCCTCCGGTTCCCATTTTGATTTGACCGCGACGGGGTGGAAAAGCTTTGGGGTTGTAACTCGGGGGTTGAGCACCTTGGGTCATATAACCCCGGTTTACGGCCATTGGGGCATGTTGTGGCTGATTTTCGGGGTGTTCAAAATCGCTGGGAGTAGATCCAGAACGACGATGATATTCAGCTCCCAAATTGTGCATGCTTCCCGGGCGCTCGGCGTTGGGATCACAACATGGGTAAGAAGGTCCCCGACTTTTTCTTAGTGGAGCGGTAAAAGCCACAGTGCGGTGCTGAGTGTCGTCGTAACAGTGTCGGTAGTGAACTGCCTGGGGTTCCCCGTCGTTTCCCATTTGTACTTGAACTCCTAATTCGGACGGGCATTCCTGTGAAAAAAAGAGAAAGGAATTAATTATAACAGCTGTGATAAACGGTAATAATCAATACCGGTTAACTATACCAATAATGGTCGTTTCCCTTTTTTATACAAAATTTTTCGAGTTTTGCCTACTTTTGTCAATGCACAGCTATTTACTGCACCTCTGTTGGAATGAATTCACATATATCGCTCTATAAGTGATTTTCGCTCAGAACGAAGCCCTACAGCAGCAGAAACGAAGGATTATATACAATATAATTACCTTGCAAAGTGGGAGGTCCATGGTTTCGTAATGGTGATTGTATCGATGACCACCTGGGTGTCCACATCTTTGTCCTGGCTGGCCACAAGGTGGAGCAAGGTGATGATGACTTCCGCTTGAATAATGCTCGTGAAGATGATTGTAGTGACCGGAAGCACCAGACGCTATAGTGGAACAATTTGGAATCGGCGGCAGTGGTTGTTCGTAATGATTCGGCGCGGCGACGTTCCACGAGACTTCAGCACCATGTCCAGGGTGAGTGTGGTGGGCGTTTATGTGAGCCTTTGGATCTAAAAATACCAATGTATTCAATGAGTAAAATATTTCGAATTTTCAGTATCTCTCAATGTGCGAATCTGTTCAGGCGAGGTCACAATTCCTCATCTAAAAAAGTACGCTCAGAATCGCGAGATATTTTTTTTTGCCGCTGGGATAATTTCACATCAAAATATTTGCATATTGCCGCGTGGGAGAAAATACACCGAAACATCTCTTACTTGTTTCGTTCATTAATTCAAAGTTCGAGCCATCGCTGTGTCCTCTCGCACCTTGAGTCGCAAAATGTGAGTTGTCCAAAAGCGTTAGTCGAGTGATATCCATGTCCGATGCACATCGTGCTTGATCTATCGCCAATACAGCGCTTCTCGCTGCTGACACAGGTAATAAAGTAGTTGTACATCCTGTGTAATGGTGAAAAGATGATAAATATTTCTTGATGTAGTAGGTGAGAAATGCTTACATACCTAGATACCAATATATAATGATCAAAATGACCATCGCAATGCCAACCAAAATTGCCAAATGCTAATGGGAATTATTTCTCTTTTAAACATCTTATCAATTCTATATGCGAACCTGTATTCGTTGTATAGTATCCTCCATAAGTCGATCCGTCTTGGCGCATCGTACCGGCATGAGATGTAGAGGAGCCAAGCCTACCGTTGTGTGAATTATTAGACATGTGACGATGACGCATGTCCATTGCGTCTGAGTGACCACGTGACCTTTTGGCGACCCTCGAGAAACACGCGGAATAATGGTTTCGTACCTATATAACAATAATTCTAATATTATTCCATCTTTTATGAGCCGTATAAAAGTACTTTCAAGTGAATGCACGCCACACTTACCTCGCTTGGTAAAATGCAATGTAGAAAGAAGGCTGCGATTCCGTAAAAAGAGCTCAAAATACAAAACAAGATGGCGGTTGCTCTTGGTTGGAAATTACTGAGCCATAAGACACCACAACTCCACAGTGCACACAAGAGAAAACCCAACGCACAGGAACGAGCCACTCCCGACCTGGAAAGTAAAAAGGTTGGAAATAAGGAAAGAAAAATCAGAACGAGAATAACGATCAATCACCACTTGATACTAAGGTGGTAATATTTTTATAAATGAGTTTTCAAATTAGATATATAATTTTATTATATAAGTAAAAATATGGGATTAGAGAGTAGGGATTTCCATACCTAAATGCTTTCGAATTTTAAAAAAATGTCCTTCAAAAAACAATCCTGAACGAAGCTATAGAACTGTAGAACAGCTACCTAACTTACAGCTAACGCTTGTCAAATGAAAATATTTCATTTAAATAAAAACTTTTGACATCTTCAATACTGCTAGATATTATCAGAAAGAACATAATTGTATTTACCTGATTGACTTATGCTTTGGTGCATCCGAAAAACTGATTGTATAAAGATGTAGTCGGTACATTGTCATGGATAAAAATAATACACAACATAAAATAACGAAAAGGCAAGGACCAATGAAACTCCATATAAAACTTCCGTTGGTTTTCAACCAGCAACTGTAAAAAGAACGAAATGCTAAAAAAATAGTGAAATTACGAATAGGATAACACGGAGATACTATTCTATAAACTATTAAAAATGGGCAGTAGTATATTATCGAATGTGAGAGTAATTGAGACGCGATGTTCCAAATGCAGTTTGGATATTTATTTGTTAAGGAAAAGTGTTCAAATAGGGTTGACAAATACTCTATGCTCAAAGCTCGAAGAGCATTTTTATATTCAAACTAAACATTATATAAACAAATTACTGGAGATAATTATGGTGTACATTGTTTTAGAAAAACCAAATTTTTAACGCAAAAATCAGTTATCCGTTATATGCATTAATTTGGGGAAATTTTGGTTGTCAGTTTTTTATATTTTAGTTTTATTTAAGTATACTACAACTCAAAAACTACACAAACCCAACCAAAAACTACATCAAACACCACTCCAATACACATACACGTAGAGACTACTACATCACTACAATATTGAACAATGAACCATGCCATGATGAGAAATTAAAATTTAATATTTTACCAGGCATGAAAGAATGATATGACAACATTACCATTGGCCAAACATAATTGTTGAAGAATGAAGAAAAACCAACCAAGAAATAGAAAAGAAACTGAAATTGAACAAAAAAATGAGAAATCAACGCATGCAAGCGTTCCACTACTTACACAGCACCCGTGCCGTACCCGGTATGGTCAGCGGCTGCGCTGATGGCAACCACAATGGTTGGGAGGCCATAGCCCACAGCGTAGTACCAGCGCCATCTATCGCGTCGTTCTGTAATATCGTTCATCACTACCATCAGATGGTAGGCCTCTAATGCAGACCATGTGAACGTAGCTAACAGGCCGAAGTGAAGAAGTCCGGCTACAGCTCCACACACCTAAATATAACAATAAAATTCCTTTAGCTAAAATTAACAGCTTTTTTTTCGCTAAAATTGTCTTTAATAGATATGCAAAAAGAGGGTGTGCACGAGGGGGAGGTATCTGAAAGCGGTCCGTGTTCGAAAAAAAAATCGGGGATCCGCAGAATCCTAGACTATGCTAAGAAAAAAGTTGCTTCCGAGGTATTTTGAATGCTACATTCGGATTAGCATGTACGATATTTCAAGTTCTGAAACCCTAAAATGCTAGTTAAATTTTCCATGCCTTTTAGGCACATAGCGCGTATTAGCGTATCAAGTATCAGTATACATCAAGCATAAATTTAATAGTCTCATATACCTAATCGAAGAACATTTTGTGTTTTTTTCATAAAAAAAAAACGAAACATGAAAGTATACTTACGTCTGGAACGAGTGTACGATCGATTCCGCATAAGAAAATGATTTCGGTCGATATTAACGATATGATAAGATTCTTATGGATGGTGTTGATGTCGCTTTGCAGACGCTTGGAGGCGCTAATAAATAAATAAAAAGATCGATAAAATTTCGTTTGCACCAGGTGACCGGAAGTATTATCTTCCGAGGTCACGAACTGAGAAAATTACAGTATAGGGATGTCGCTTTGCAGACGCTTGGAGGCGCTATTAGATGAATAAAAAGATCGATAAAATTTCGTCTGCAACAGGTGACCGGAAGTAATATCTTCCGGGGTCGCGAACTGAGAAAATTGCAGTATGGGTATATATGTATATGTACAAAGGTTCAATATTTTCGTGACAACCTACTAAAAAAATCATCTTACCTCAGTGGAAATAGTGTTGCTGCGACCAGAACCAGGAAGAAAAGTGAAACACTCAATCCGGCTCTCAAGATCGGTACATCACGCGATACGATTGGCGCTGTAATAGTGCTGGCATGAACGCCTGAATCTCCTTGATAACCCATTGTCGGGAAGGGAATGTTGGATGACAAAACTGAAAAAGACGTCATGTGATTGCATTCGCAGACACTGTGCGTCGAATTGACGTCAATTGCGTAACATCCTTTGCGCCACCAACGTCCAGCGGCAGACCTGAAAAATAATGAACATTGAGTTGAAATGGTGAAGACACAGATAGGAAGTTTTTTTTTATTAATATATGATTTTATCGGAGTTTTAGCTGGTGTCGGAGTCGATATTTTGAGTCCGAGTCGATTTCAAATTGTGTCTACTTTACATCCCTACTTTCAACCTTAGCCAGTAGTACCACAGAGTTAAAAAATGGTCTGTTGAAAAAAATAATAAGTCTACTTACGGGTTAGTGTGGTCCCAGTAGGCACAAACTTGGTTACCAAAATCAGTCCTTTTGTGCGCGATCGTCAATTCCAGGGGCTTAGCAAGATCGAGGGTCTGATGTCTGTTAACTATGACACTGACTTCGACCTCATCCGGCGAGGGAGAGCTGTCTGTTTTTGTAGGTAGGCTGGTAATCCGTGTAATGGAAGCAGCCGACACTGATAGAATTTTAGAATTTACGGGTTGAAGATGTGTTTTATAAAGTTCGTCGTCTTTCAAATATTGTCCCAAATTACGGAAAGCCAAAAGCACAACCGCTAGATGGCGTGTTGTGGTTTGGTTTTTATGTCCTCCCTGATTTGGTAAGTTGTTATCTGAAGAAGTATAATCGCCAAGAGCTTTCAAAACCGCATTAGTATCCAACTTTACTGAATCACCCTGACCGGTTGACCAAATCACGTTTTCATATTTTGATGACGTCACGGAACCAGTGACGTCACTTGGAATGGGATCGACTCTGATACCGAGAGAAACCATTCGCTCCGACCAGTTGAGCTTGTTATTTTGAGCTGTGCTCGGTTTGTTAGCGCTCATAGCGGATACGGTTGTTGAGATGTCGTAAGCCAGAAAGAAAGCGGTGTCTTCGACGACGCTGACGAGTTTTGTTGCAAGTTGGTTCTGAATATAAAAGTGGTATGAGTTACTAAAATTACTATTTCTAATACACATGCATGTGGGAACTAATAAACAAAGTAACGTTTTTCTCAGAATAGAATAACCCCATACCTGCATACTATGCGTTAAAAAATTCCAGCTATCTTCCAAAGATGGGTCCAATAACAAACTGGCAGTCTTCAATACTGAGCCAGTTAGCATGGCGGCGCTTTGTCTTTCTGTAGTTGCTTTTCTCAAAAACGCTAAAATATAAAAACACGTTTCAAAATTTTTGTCCAAAGTATGACGTCATAAAGTCGGGCGTGACGTCGGTCACTGTTAAATGCAAATTATGTAATTTTTACCTTTTAGAAGTTCAACCGATCTGGTAATGTCCCAACTGTTCAACTGATTACCAATGTCCACTTTTTGCCTGAGGGTGTCAGTAAATTTTTGACTCAGTTCCGCAGCGCTGATTCTTCCGTAATCCAACTGGAGGTAAAAAAAATAAACGAAACTTTAGGTTTAGAACAAAACCGGTTTAATAACGTTCCGCCAATATATGACTGAAAACAGAGAAAATTCTTCTAAATCATACAAAGTATTGTCCAAAAACTGAGCAGTAAATTGGGTAAAGTATATGTTTTTAAAGTTGAAGTAAGAAAATTGAAAACTACGCAAATCTATAAAATAAAGTCAATATGAATATTAATAACAACAACAAACCTGATTCTCGATTTCTCGAATCCATTCAGAAACGCATTGGGTAAAATCTGGGTTTTCTGTGGCCCATTGGGGGTTCGTAGCATTGCCCCCACAAATCCAGTGAGCAAAACCATGTGGAGATCCTGAAATAGCAAAAGAAAACATTGATACAGAATTCAAAATGGTAAAATCACCGGAAAAAGAGAATAAGGGCATTATTTTTATTACTACGACAGGGGTGTCGCATTTGCACGTTTTTGTTTTTACTATATAAATTATCCTTCATACCTGGACATCGCTCTTTAGCAACACTTCTGAATTTGGTATCTGGCCACTTTATGCCTCTTGCTTCTACTCCGCGACAAAAAGTTCTGATAGGTTTTATTGGTGCAACACCACTAGGCGTCGTTGTTGTTTTTATAGTAGTACTAGTCCTCCTTGTCGTAGTAGTTGTCGTGGTTGTGGAAGTCGTCGTAGTCGGCGGTGGTTCCGTGACGAGAGGCTCGAAATTTAGTCGGTAGGTGATAGCCAATTTTTTATCCCATACGTAGAGCTTTTGTTCTTTCGGGTTGTAATTTATAGTCGAAGTGTTTTTAGTCAATCCGGGCATGGCGATGTTAATCTGAAAATACAAATATCATATGTTGCGATATTGTTGCGTCATAAAGTGGATGTTATAATGTCAACACCTATTAACAAGAGTATGACATTACAAATAAAAATCTGACAATATAACTTACATTTGACCCGATATTAGAAGTGGTATTAAACATATGGTCAATTTTTAGTGTGTCGTAATTGACGACATATAAAACTCCGCAGACCATGAAGGCGTTGAGAGCAGATAACTTGTCGTAGGAGGTAGTCCAGGTTTTGACAATTTCAAGGTTGTGGTGCCTCAACCTATACAAAGAAAATACAAAAAACATAAGTTTTCGAGTCATTAGTGGGCCCACTTGAAACAAACAGCGCATAATTGTTTAAATTAATCACTATAAAACTCGATCTGGAGAGCGTAATTGTAGAGTGCTTGATTTCTTTTGTCTTACTTCGAGTGGATCTCGTTCAAGTGCGGGTTAATCCAAGCGTGTAGTACTTGATTTACGAAACGAATGACAAAACACAACAGCCTCGCATGTATACTGTATATTGTGTAGTCCCATTATTACATATTGGGTTAATATGGAAATATAAGGCATGAAGTGTTTTTGATTCAGACGGTGGATACAATACTAAAGTTCTTCAGATACACATACCTGCTCACGACAATTTTTCCCTCGTTATATTCTGTAGCGTAAATAGCCCACAATCCATTTTCATCAACAGCTAAGTCTATATCGGTAGAAAGTCCAATAGCATATGGCGACGTTCCGTCATGATTCGCTGCCGGTAGCTCCACAGTAGCTTCCACACGTTGGGTGGATAAATCGTAACGGACGACTTGTTTGGTACCCTCCTGGATATAGAGAATGAGTTAATGACACGACTAGTTTTGTTATATTTTGTACGGCACGTTTTTTAAATTTTCAAATCGACTTACCGGTGTGAAAAACAGACTTCTGTCGTAGACCACAAAGCCAGTTCCATCTACAGATTGGCGTAAATGATAGAACGATTTTGGTTCTCTTCCTATCATGTCCGATATAGATTCATATTCATATAATTGACGAGTAAAAAATTTAGTGTATCCCATATAAAACAGCCTGTAAAAAGTGGAAAAGAAAATTAAGAAAATCCTCGATTGTGATGTAAATGCGAATAGCAAAGATAAACGATATGAACCTTTCTGATACTTGATACGGATCTTTCATCCAAGCAGCGTTATCCTCTAAAGGCGTTAATTTTCTTGAAAATAATGATGCGCTCTGAAGTTTACCGGGACAGGTGATTACTGAAAAATAAAAAGAAATATGACTTAGAATGGGAACTTTATAGTACGTTATGTGCATGGAGCAGATTTATTCTAGCCTGTTATTTCAAAATTAAGAATATATTAACAAATAGGAGTACTGTATACTGGTCATTTAGTATTGATGAAAAATCAGTTGTTCTGGTTCGATGCGCGTGAGCGAACCGAAAAGCGACAGTTTTTGCGAATTTTGTTATCAGCGCCGGTAATAGACGGATAAGCATATCTTTCGCCGATGCGGACCGTTTGTTGCGTTCCAGACAAAAAATATTATTTTCCATAAAAATTGTTTTTTTTTATCTTAGGGCCAAATACGATTTTCATTGTATTATCATAGTGTAATTTTGGATGGAAATCAAACGGTAAATTGTGCGCTTAGAGGTCACGCTTCGTGCCAACAAAGCAAAACAATCCGAATCGCTGATGATTTGAGACGTTTTGGATACTTTTCCTTGAATTTGTCTACCGAGACAAAAAATCTGTCGTGCGTAACAACCAACGTTGGAATAACTTATATGTTTAATATGCCACCAAAAAACAGTCATATACCAGTTATTACTTACAACACACAGATTATTTTTCTTTATACCAAGTGTTCACGTTTTCGCTCTTAAAAAGTCTACGATAATCATATTTTGTGTTAGAAAAGTATTCAAAAACTTTCAAAAAAATCATTTTCCACTCGATCAAACTCTTCTCACTCGAATATTTGAGGGCATGACAGTAGATTTGCGGTTTATATTCATTCTCTTGTTATTTCATGAGTTTTCAGAAATGCCTCGAAAAAATCAGGGTTCAAAAGGCTTTTCTACATGGGTTAGCACTTGTGTGATATTTCGACAACCTGCAATCAAAAGGCTTATATCGAAAAAGGTGGATTTGAAAAACATGTGATAACCGTTAAGCGTCCGGAATAAAGCTCCCATGTACAAAATTTCCAGTGAATGAACACCCACAAAAGTTTTTTTAACCTTTTATTATAAAAAATAACTTTAATTTGTAATGGAATTGAAAGGTACTGTTCGTGGGAAGTGGGTATCGGGTTAAATTCTCATCCTGCTACTGTTAGATTGAGAGACACGGATTTCGCGATAATTGCGAAAAGGCAAGAACGCGGAAAATTGCGTAAACAATCGGTGCGTCATAATATTTACACGCAAAATACGAGGGCAATGCCCACTTGTCCCAAAAAGATATCACCACACACCTAACTTGATTAGGCGTTGCATTATATGCCATTTATCTTTGGGCCAAATTTACAAATGCAGTTTTAGACTTTTTTTCAATTATGTCAAAATAAGCAATTGAAATTCTGCACACGGAACGCTAGACTATTTTGTTATTTTTGTTGTATTATACTGAAATAACCAACCGTTATAGCTACAACTGAGACAAAATTCAATATGTCTGATTCCACCAGTTTATGGTAAAAACATTGTCTCGTACTGAACAATAATATTACGATTATAAAAAATGCTTTCCCAGTGACTAAGAGCGTATAAAATGTCTTCCCGTCCGTAGAAAATTGGCCATAAAATAGATAGTGTCTGAATTTTTCTTTGGTACATTCTATTAGAAAAAAACGGATAAATATTACAGCTGTAAGTAACAGATTGGTAACATAAAAACAATTTTTGAACAAATCAAATGACAGTTTTACAATTAAAATCAAGAGGTCAAAAGTCGAATCGTGAAAGTTGTCGTCTGATGATGACGTCATTTTGGTTTTGGATCATTAAAATAAATCTAAACGGGAAACCGCCTTAGCAAACCTAGAAATCAGTTAAGTATGTGTCATACCAGGCCAAGCATGAATATATTACTGAATTCTCCTGTGCTGAGTTGTCCCAATTAATGTCATTTATAAGGCAATTCGACAATGATGCTAGTCTTTGAAGCGCTTTGGGAGTGTGGGATATAAAATTTTCCCAAATGAGGCTGGGGACCATTATACGCTTTTTAACGACGCTTTTACGAGTTTATTAAACGGCGGGAGAGAGTTGTTCAAATTGGTAAATATTGGTTTGAACGTAATGTTACATACGTTAAAATAAAGAAAAGTCCAAATTTGGTTTTAAAAAATATTCTAAATCTCATTTGAAATGAGAATGGCTGTCCTGTACTGGTGTATAGACACCGTCATGACTATGACTTCATGAGAATTTTACTCGATGGAATGTGTGACAAAAATCCAAAATAAAGCTATGATATTTTCGAGTTCATTAATAATCAAAAATACGACAACCCAAGCGACGTCGCATTACGCCTCAGAATAGAACACCACCTCATGGTTAAGCCAATTACGCAACGCTGTAATCACTGTAAACTGTCAAGTTTTGTGTGTAAAGTCTGAATATGTTGACCACACACATACAAATACGTAGAAATGTATCCCGAACATTTAGCTTGTCCATATTTAGACACAATCGTTTTAAAAAGGCTCTAGCCACAGGAAGTAGGCAAACCGTCGCTTCGTATACACATGCTTCGAACACATACTGTAATACAAAAAGCGGCAATTGGCAATTATATTCTTAACTAATAAGATGTTATGCCATCTGAAAACGAATGACGACAAAAATTTCATATAAACCACATTGCAAATATGGACGTCGAAAAGCAAGCAGGCAAGCCCGCTCTGGGAAAGCCATTACGCATTTGTTTATGCGATGTGGCTTTCAAAACAATACGTTAGGCGTAGGTAGGTAACTTAATGTTCGCTCGTAATCAAAAATGACTGACGAAGCGACATCGAATACGAAAATGCCTCGCGGATTCAAAGTGATATCACCGTCGCTCGGGAGAAAGTAACAATTTTTGACTAGTTTCTCCAATGAAATATTAATATGGAAATTTGCTGCAAAAACTCAAAGTCCAATTTTGACGCAAATTTGATTTAGAAATGCGTTAGGATAAATTTGGTCTACACGTCAATCTAAAAAAATCAGGTTGTGTGCCTTTACCGGGAATAAACGACATAACGTTTTTGGGCTCTAAACGCATTGGTAATTGCCAAGTGGCCTCCATATAAAATAGTTGGTCCGACCAAGCCCAATATATTTTGAGAATGAACAGCCTTTAGTTTACCATAGCAAATGTCGAGAGAAAAATAGCTTACCATCATTCGAAGTTGCATATCCAAAATTCATGATAGTCGAAAGCAATAAAATCCATAAAGTAAATGTATTTGACAAAACAGCCATTTTTCTGTTGTTAGAAACAGTCTTTTTACATGGCAAGAGCATTTGAAAATCCATTTTTGTATATCCGTTGAGACAAAGCGTTTGCATTATATTACAAATATATCAGTGGTCCTTAAAATAGTTTTTTTTTTGCACCGGGTAGCTTGTTTTACAAAGCTTCTTAGATCCGTTTTGTATTGTTTAGTATAATATACGGAGGTACATTCTAATTATCGGCGTGCTTACGGCGTTTTTGTATTGGTAAATTAAGCTGGAAAATGTGTAAGGGTGGTAATTAGAAGTTATTATGCTTGAATAGGGGATGCGCATGGGAAAAATCGTGTAATCAAGCAGACTACGATGAAGTGCATTATAATGACTTACAAAAATTTTCAAATATTTCAGCATAAGTCAAGTAGATAAATCTAACTCAAATACGACGGTTCAACAAACAACGTTGCCAGTTTTTAACGGCATATATTTTTCTATATAACGATGACAGAATTAATAAACTTTTACTTTTTTGTCAATACTCAGCTAATGGTCAGTTGGTACATCTCTACACTCAATTAAACATAAATAATCTACTTTTTCCTGGGGTTTGCCCAATATATTCCCCAAAGAAATTTAACAAAATTCATCATGCTATCTATTTAGGCCTATTAGACAACTTAACCAATCTGATTAATAAAAATAAACTATTTAATTTTGGCGATTCTTTAGACAACAGATAAGGGAATAAAATACACAAAGTTCAAAGCAAACCTATGCCTCAAATACGTAATGTAAATAAAGCCTTAAGTGTATTTTTGTGCGCCTATTTATCAACTACCTTGTTATTTAGAATATTAACATGGTTTTATCTATATCCAAACACTCTTTAATGTAATGAAACGTTCTCATCTGCTCAATAAAAATAGAAAACTGAGATTATCAAACTGCTCTACAGTATAACACTTAACATAATATGGCAACGGTAAGAAGGCTCGGAATAAATTGGTCCGACTGTCCGATCCCGACAACTGTCATACACTGACTGATGATTCAGGCTCTCTACCGCACAAAGACACTCTCGCCAAGCGGCCATTTTTATTTTTCTATCGGTCTCTCGTTTTGTCATAAAGTTCGTAAATTGAACCGCGCTTTCTAACGAGTAAAAAATACTGGGACGTTGAAATTAAACCAAAAATAAAATTTACATATTGTTAATTACAAATCATTAAGTGAAGACCCTAGAAATTCGGGATACAATAGTGGCGTTGCCGACTGCGAGATCGCCTGAAACTTATAAGCGAATATATCTCTGATTTTTGTATTGTATCTAAAAACTGTTACCTTCCGGAACTATATTTTCCTGTATTCACTCTATAATGTCAATAACACACATCTTAAACTGTGTCTGCTCATTGCCTGCACAAAGTAGCATATGGGATACTTCCATTCGGAACCTCATTTTTAGGCGATTAACTCTGCCGGCGACAGTAGCCTGCTGTTACACTGTAACACAGGAAAAGCGGCAAACGACGAAAGATTATTCCAAATATTCTCTGTGGGATACCTAGACCTCACACGAACGGTCGTTAACGAAGAAAACTAGCTACAATTTAGCAGTTCAGTCGTTCGCTTTACCGAATGAAATCACGCGAATAGGTCGCTACGGGATACTTCTGTACGGTACTAGACCAGCGAAAGCCATAATTCTAATGTAACACTTGCCGATCTAAAATCGCCCACTGGGAAAATGCGACCATAATAGTCAACGTTACTCGAAAAGTCAGTCTGCACCTTATAACAACCGGC